TAAACTTTTTTAAAAATTTGTAAAAAAAAAAGAGGTCTTACTTTATCTTTAATCAGCCATTGTTGGACTATCTTATCGAGCGGAGTACCATCGTCATATCCACTTCGATCAACATCTTTATAAAAGAAAATTAAAAAAAAAGTCAAATCAGTAATGCGCCAGGTCATATATAAATAAGCTAAGAAAAAGTATAACTTACTCAAACCAGTAATATCAACTAGCATAAAGTAGCCACCGTCTGGCATAATAGGCTTCAATTTAGCTTCTTTAACAATATCATACATTTGTTGACGTTTGCCAGTCATAATTTGACGCAACCAATGCCAATAAGAATCAGGCGTACCTAAAAGCAGTTTTTCATGCTTGAATGTTTCAGCCAGAGCTATCTAAAAAAATCATTAAAATCGATAAATCAGGAACGGATCCAGGCTGTAGCAAGTGAAGCCATTGCTACAGTCAGCTCAGCTTAACTTCTCTTCTTATTTGTTACATACATTTCTTTTTTCATGTAACAGAGAAAAATAATTTAACTTAGGTATGGAGGTTACATGTAGTCAAAATGCGGCGCTTCAAAAATTTATTCGAAATCGTAGATGAGCCAAGTTAAATATGATACGTAAAAAATTCATTCGGAAAAATGAAATGCTTCACTGAAAAACCCATGCATTTAACAGATTTTGTCTCACAAGCCCATAAATTTTTGAAAGAATGTCAAATATTTCGCAGCGTATCAATTTAAATTGAACTGGGAGTTAAATAAACTGTAGCAAAAGTCAATATGTCATGTTTTAAAACGACTCTATATATACCCCCGATACTTTATTATAAACTTAGCTTATTCAGCTCAAATCTTTTTATTAACAAGGAGGTCTTACGTAGTGACTAAAAGTCATTAAGCGAGAACCTGTACCGAAAACAGAAAATTTGTAGTAGAGGCAGAAGATCTGTTAAATATCCACTCTCCGATTATAAAACTTTCTTTTTAACGATGTGGATAGCAATCATTAAATGAATAAGATTTTATAATTATTAAGATTAAATTAAATACCGACTTTTGGTTTCTTTACTTAGTCTATTATGAAAATGGTGAAATTTGTTTATGTTTATAAAAAATGGTGAAATGTGTTTGTTGTTGTTCCACGAGTTATTTATTATTGATGAAGCCAAACGATTTATAAACGTTTTAAAAAATTTATAGATTTTCCAGAGACAAAAAGAAGAAAACACGTTAAATAGATTGTTTGTCTAATGCGAGTTTTAAAACGTCTAGCAACATTTTAGTATATGATCTGGTTGGCATAAAAACTTCAAAAAAGTTAAACTAAAAAACACTTTTGCACAACTTTTCTCTCAAATAGATTTTTAGTCTAAAAATGGAAGGAACTTTTTACTAGCAACTATTATTCTCTGTGACAAGGGGTATGTTACAAAAATGTTATTGTATCGGGAAGTTGCTGTTTTCGGAAAATCAATGATATGAATTTTCTTTCAAAAAGTGTTTTTAACTTTAACAAGACAGGTGATTTTGTTAAACTTGCTGTCACATAATGAAAAACTCTCAAGCTAAAAAGTGTGGTTTAATAACAATCAACAAGCTTCCCCAAGGATCTAAATGATAAACAAAGAAAGTTAATGAATTTGGCAATACAGCATAATGCATTAAAAAAAAAAAAAATCAGAAATTAGGCATACAATACCAACATAAGTCACAAGACATTTCGCAAATTATACATGCAAAGAAATAGTCTAGCTGATTAAAGCGCTATTAAACACTTTTGTTGCAAACTTTTTACGTTGGTAAAATTTGTGACAGAATTACTTGAAAATGAATTTAGAAATTTAAGTATCTGTAGACATATTTTTTAAGTATTCTTTGAAACCAAAGATGTCTCATGTTTATAATAACATGCATTTTGAAAATATGATTTGCTTCATGATATGAAATTTTGACCAGCATGATGTTTTATTTTTTAAACTTTGGTCAATGTCTAAAATCATTTGAAATAGGCGGATTAAAACGTTCTTTTCACAATACTGTTTAATGGCTTTTCTTCAACTTCATTAAAGATAAAGTTTGTTTGACTTCAATATTCAATACTTTTATGCTTTACTGCATCACTTTATAAAAATTGAGTGTTATCACCACAATTTGCTTTCCTATATCATTTTATTGAAAACCACTGCACTACAACAAAATTAAACAAAGAACTATGTCATTTTAAACAAAGAACCATCATATTAAATTTGTCTTGTTAGGTTGACATTTATTCATTGACACTTTTGTTTTTATTATTTGCTGTTATTATTATTTTTATTATTTTGTTACCGTTTTTATTATTTTGTTTTTATTATGCTGAGATTTGTTAATTGTATCGTTGTTAATTGTAAGATGCCTGAAGTTTGCTGTTTTGGGATTTTAAAAGCATTCTTTCTTTATTTAAAGCAGTATACTTTTTATTCAAAAAGCAACGTTTGGTTCTATTTTTTATATAATTTAAAACCTATTTCTTTTTTTTATTATTTGACAAAAAGTTTATTGAAATGAAGCCATGAAGTTTATTTAAAAAAAAATGTTTTTGTAAATTTATATAAATCGTTGCAGTATCCATTTTAATTTTTAGATATTTTATAAAGGAAACCATTAAATAAAGCATTATGTGTTTTAAACAATTAAATTAAAAAATTGAATTTTAAACAGATTTAAAATAAATTTGTCATTTTCATTTTCAAATATCAACCCCCAATTTTTTTGCGGACCAAAATATATTTTCACAACCACAATATTTTGTTGATTTAAATATATATGATACTTTTGATATCATATGATATTTTTTGATGTATTATTTGGCATTAATACATTGACTGGCAATAGAAATACCAGGAATTAAATGTAAATACAACGACTGAGAATAACGGTTCCGTTTATGGTTTTAGTCACGATTAAAAATCATAAAAGACAAGTATAGTATTATTTCGTCAAAAAGTGTTCAGTTTAACTAGGAGGCTTTAACGTCGTGTAAATCAAGTAATGTTCTTCCGTTCTAAACGGACTAGGAAAGAAAACAGTGCTAGGGGACCTCATGTATCACTCACTATAAGCCACTTTACATACAGTACTGGCAGAAATCGTGTGTGGTACTCTTCCTTCCCCCACTATCAATAAATTTTAGTTCTTTTAGACGAGCGAGTCAGCATAGGTAGACCACATAGAATATATATTTTTTATTTATTATTTTTTAATACGGATATTTTTTATTAATGACTTTTTGCTACAGTCAATAAAAATCGCGGATCCGACCCCTGTAAATAGTACTCACACACTTTCACAAGTATTTCATTTTTTATATACATCTATATGTATAATTA